CAGAGCAAGCCAAGCAAGCCCAAGAAGAAGGCAAACGCGGTCATCGTCATCGAGTCCTCGTCCGAGAACGACAGCGAAGACGATAATCAGTCAATCAAGAGCGTGGCTGCTGTGGTGCGTGACCCGACGAAGCTCAAGGTGCCGGAGCTTCGGAAAGCGCTCAGCGAGCGCAACCTGAGCACCTTTGGCCTGAAAGCCAAGCTCGTGGAGCGGCTCACTCGAGCTCTCGCAGACGAAAAAGCGCGTGATGCCCGACGCGTCACGCCGGACGTGGCTGGATTCGACGACGACGATGACGACGACGACGCGATTCTACCTCGCCTCAAATCCAAGACCACCAAATCGTCTACGAAGAATGCAGCTAAATTGACGACGAGTACAGAGCCACTGCCTCGACCAAGTCCTGACGCTGACGTGGCGCCTCGATTGGAGGCGCGCGTCAAGGCTACCGAGGTGCCATTGCGAGAACCCAAAGTCTTGTCCCCGGTCAAGCCTGCGTCCCCTGTCAAGTCAGCTTCGCCGGTGCAACGAGTGTCGTCGCCAGTAGCCGTCGCCACATCTGCGTCTTCTATCACGACAAAGCCGTCACCGATGTTGCCAGTCGCCACCTCCTCGATGTCCTCTCGGGTATCGGAGGCTGCCTCCGAGCCGTCACCGGTCGTTGCTGCGTCGCCGCCCCGGCCCGCCGCCGACTCATTCGTGGAGGAGTCGCCCATGGCCTCGCCTGAGCGACCACCGCCCATGCTTCACTCACCAGGCAAAGTGCGCTCCAAGGACCGCAAGCGCAAAACATTGTTTCCGCCCGAGTCGCCTGCAAGCACCTCGTCCTCCTTGGCGCCGCCCAGCGACGGCCCCATCCTCTCGACCGCCGCGTCGCTCTTCGCATCTGCGACATCACCGATCGTCAAGGGCTTTGCCTCTTTCCGGTCGGCGCTGGGCCTCAGCGCGACCAAGCCAACCGACGAGACAGAGGTGGCATCCGTCGTCAAGGTGACCGCACAAGTCACACGCGCCGTCGTCGCCAGCCCCCAACGCGGGCCCACGAGCCCGGTGCGGTCTAGTCCCATTGCTGCCTCCAGCCCGGTGCGGTCTAGCCCCATTGCTGCCTCCAGCCCGGTGCGGTCGAGCGCCGTCGTCGCCTCCAGCCCGCGGCGTTCGAGTCCCGTCGTCATCTCGAGTCCGCCGCGACGACCAACCAAAACGCCGCCCAGTCCCAAACCCGTGGTGCCTGCGCTTCAAACCGAGATCGAGCGAGAGTCGTACCGCATGCGGCAGCAAGCCCGCGAGTTTGCGCGGCGTCGCATTGAAGAAGAGTCCAAAGCGGCGCGATCAGTACCAGAGGCGCCAGAGGGGGACGCGCGGCGCCCGACAAACCTCGTGTCGGGACTCTACTCGTTTTCGTCGCTCGCTGCCAAACCAGCACCCAAGCCAGTTGCGACAGTCCCGGCCATTAGCTCGCTCAAGCTCGCCGAGCGCCACCGTGCGCTCGAGCCCAAGAAGGCCATTGACCGCGCCAAACGCAAGGAAGGACTCATGAAGATGTACGAGGAGCAGCGCCGGCTCGACGAAGAGAAGCGTCGCAAGACGGCCGCGCAGGTGGCGGCCGAGGCCGAGCGTCAAAAAGTAAACTCAGCGAGTTCTTGCCATCGGTGTATGACGTACCTCTGTAGCAAGAGCGCGATGCGGCTGAGCGTCGGCAGCGAGAGGCGGAGGTTGCGCGGAAGCGCGCTGCCCGCCTCCAGGAAATCCAAGCGGCGACCGACGAAAAGCGCCGGCAAGTAGAACGCACCGAGAAGCTCGTACGTGGTCACCGGTCGTACTCCTTGTGCATTTGTGACGCGAACCATCTAGCGACACGAACAGCCCCGCGCCAAGGTCGAGACCACCGCCAAGCCAGCAGCGTCGAAACCGCGCGTCGAGATTGCAAAGCCATTAAGTGCCGCAGCAAGTGCAAGTGCCAAGGTGGTCAAGAAGAAGCCGATCGAAGCGGTCTTGCTCTCCAAGAAGCCCGAGCCGACAACGTACGAGATGTCCGAGCCAGAGAGGTGCGTTGCTCCATCTCACTGGCCTTGGTCAAATGCGGTGTAGCGACGAGAGTGGGAATGGCGAAGACGACACGAAAGCCGTGCCCAAGTGGGCGCAAAAGGCGCACTTGGAGAAGGCGCTCGCCAAGCAGTTTGGGCCTGACGCGATCGACCCGACGCCGTCGATTTTCCCGGAATTCATCGCGACGTGCGACCTTGAAGCCATCTTTCAGCCGCGCGACGGCGCCAAGAAGCGCAAGTTTGCGCGGCGCACGAGCTCGGGAAATTGGCTCGCAGACCGCCCGACGACACGCGACAAAGTTGCCTATAAGAAGGCCATGGGCTACACCAATTAATTTTTGTACCCTACGATCGATCGACTTGGACGTGTTACATATGGATTGTATCAGTCTATCAACTAATGCTACTTTTTGAGGATATTTTTCGGGTTGGCTCTGTGGCTTATATATAT